CAATCATATCGCCTTAGTTTAGGAAGCCAACTCTAATGAAGATGAAATGAGCCGTCATCAGAGGACAGGGGGTCGCATTTACCAACCCAGCTGTTTAATTTGAATGTGTGTACCACAGAGGCAACAAAGCCTAATCACCAGCTGGCTGAAGACAGGACATTGCTGAGATGACATTCACACAGTGTGCGCTGATTGTTTGAGCAGTGTGACTTACAAGCCGGGCAGCAGTTAGCAGATAAGAAATGATGTGCACTGGATTCGAAGATGCTAGAGTGAGGTGCAGTATTAGAGAGCACCCTGCTGTCACTAGTGTGAACGTGCAACTTTATTATCCATGTGTACTGGATAAGAATCCCTCAGGCTGCCTTTTAGCACAATGCCACAACACAATATTAATCCATACTAACATTACACTGACAAAGAAGTGAGAGTAAGCTGCTTAAAAACAGGACAAGTAGAGAAAAAAGATGATGTTGTTCCACTAGAACAACTCTGAGCCCTTTAATGAGGTACTCACTTTAGAACTGCAACATGTAACTGATTAGTCAATCATCAGAAAACTAAGTCACATCTATTTGGATAAGCAATTAACTGTTTTAGTCATTTTCCAAGCAAAAATCTATAACATTGTCCACTTGGAAATGCAGCCTCACTTCCATTTGCACCTGTCCAAGTTTAAGACACGACTGCCCCCTGCTGGACACATACGGTAATGCTACTAATACACCAGTGAAGTACCTGGAAAAACATTACAATATGAATTAATCACTTCAAAAATAATCTAAATTCAAGGTCATTTTCTGTAGTTTCCAAAAAATGCTTTCACTCTCAGAATAACTGCAGCCTAAATGAAATGATTTAGAAATAAATACATCACGTTTATTAGACACAGGATAAGAAAATTGTGTAGTGAGGTTTCTGCACCACAGCAGAATCTTAATCCAAACTTCAGCTGTTTTACACATCTAGAAAGTCTAATTTATACAGTACCTTCACATTCTTTTGTAAGCAGAGGTGATATATACAGCACTTTATGAGTTTCAGCCACACTGATGTAACATTTGAGTTAAAAATACAGAGATGTTTGTCACATGAAACACTAAGACACTCCTTTGCTTTCAATGATTTTGGTCATTTGATTCAGTGTAGAAATAAAATCATTATTTTCTACAACTATACTTAAATCTTTACAAAAATTTACTGTTCATAACAAAATAAAAGCACAAAATAGAGAAAGCTATGCTTTGATTTCTGACATCTTTTCCACATATGAAAGGAAAAACATTTCTGAAACTATGGAGATAAAATCCTATCAAAAATGTTACAAATACGTGTTTAACGTTTTGTCTGTAACAAGCAATTTGTGTGTGTGTGTGTGTCATGAGGATCACAAATGCATGCTGTACAAACTGCACATAAAACACATTTTCCAAATGCTTAAAATCGATTTTTTTGTGTGCAGTTCTTTAGAAAGTACGTACACATTGTTACCTACGCATGCGTGGATCGTCAAACGCACACGAATCACCTTCCGTGCACACACGGACTTTTGAGAGTGTTTTTCCACACTCTCAAAAGTCCACGATCCACGAATGCACGATAAGTTTAAGGACACGTGGAAAACTCAGACATCTGAGTTTCCAAACCTGTTTCCCAAACTAAAGTATTTACACAACGCTATTCCAAATGGACATTACATAAAATAAACATAAAATATCTAATACATAACATGTTTTAACAGAGAACATCCCAGTTGCCTGCAGTTTGTGGTGCATGTTCTAAATTTTTATATATTTAGAATTTAGAAGTTACGAAGCTAAAGTTAATGTTCCGCCCTGCGGAGTTTATAGCTTTTCAGTAGGGCATATTTTAGTGATGCACATATTCCTCCCGACGGAGTTTGTTGTTGTTTTTCAGTGGGACATGTTTTAGTGATACACACCGCCAGTAAGTTTAGCGTGAAAACTGTCACAGGTTGTCTCTCCTTCGAATCTATGTATCGAACCATCCACTTATCTAGCATAGCACGACAAACCGTGGAGCATATATTTAATATATATAAAAATTTAGAAAAGCACTCTCAAAAATCCGTGTGTGCGTGGAAGGTGATTTGTGTGTGTTAGACGATCCACGCATGCGTAGGTAACAATGTGTATGTACTTAAATCTGTGAAAGGAGTGTTTCCTGTGCAAATGCTAATAGACAAAGACAGAGAAGTGCAATAAAGCAAAAATAATCCGCAACAAGTGATGCACATAAAAAAAGATACTAAACTGATGAGGTTTTCTTACCTATCAATTCTGTGGGATTCTTCTCGATGAACTGTTCACATAGCCTGATGAACATTTCTGTTATCTCTTTCGAAGGGCATTCTCCATGGCTGAAACAAACATAATGACACTTAACATATTACCACTGAAAGACAGTGACTAAGGACAATTTGTTGAGCCTGTGACAGTGAATTTGCTCGTACCCTTTACACTGAAGCTTCGCATATGTTATGCCTTCTTTTTCAATGTCATCACGGTCATAAAAACGAGTAGTGTTTGTCAAATCCACAAGCAAACCCATTTTCACCTGAAGAAAGACAAATAAGGACAGGGTGTGTCATGTGCTTCTGAATTTCACATTTTTACCCAGTCATCAAGGAGTTACTTACTTTCAGACTTTTTAAGAAGTTGGAGAGCATGCTCGGGTGGAACCTGTTTTCCTCTGCAACCTGGTCGTCATATCTGGGACCCAGCATTGTTTTCATTGGCAGGAATTTACCTATGAAGGAAAATACAAGTAATGGACCACGTCCTCTAGTAAAACCTCTGGACTCTGAGGACGAACCATAGCAAGCGAATTTGTTGTCACTTGCCAAATCTGGCCTGGTCACAGGGGTTTAAAAAGGACACACAAGACATTAGTGGCATCACCAGATTCATGTTCTGGGGTCCCCAAGGCAAAGGTCTGTTACTGGGTCCCTATGTACTGACGAATCCAGCTAGTTCTCTATAGCTGAAGTGATTAATTGATTAATCCATTAGCTGACTGGCAGAGAATTACATGGTAATTACTTAATAAATCATTCAAGTATTCAAGGAAAATGTTTAAAAAATACTTGTGCTTCAGCCTCTCACATGTGAATATCTGCTGTTTTCCCTAGTTGTCTGTGATAGTAAATGTGACAAGACATCAAAATATGTTTACTTAAGATTCAGGGACTAACTGGTAATTTTCCACTATTTTCTTACATTTTATACACTAATATAACAAAAGAAAGTAACTGTTCAAATTGTTGATAATGAAATAATTACTGGTTGCAGAGTTACAGTTTTCCTGGACCGCCTTGCCTGAGGTTTTCTTTAATTACTTGACACATAAGAATAATGAAAGGAATTTGTTACACCACTATTTAAATGAAATGAAACAATTTAGGTTCATAACTAAACTTTCAAACAGGGTCACACAGTTATAATGTAGACCCAAATGATAAGGAGTAAAGCTAGGGCTGATGGGGGGCCACTGGGGTCAAACTGTATTAAATTAAACAAGAAATAGCACACGAATCGTATTTGTTGATATTCCTAAATTGGCTAATATCCAACAAACAAACAAACTATGGATCCATCTGTGAGTACTATAGCCAATTCCTAAAAGTAATACATCTAGATTTACAAGTGCCCCAGCTGCGCTTTCACATGTAATTCCTGTCCAGGCTAATACGTTGGTATAAACCAGTGGAGTGAACCTTGATCCGGAAATGCGGAATCCCAGTTAACATGTCCCAGGTCCGTGCCTTTAATGGGGAACGACCGTTCCATAACATCGCGGGCACCGTGCTGCCGCCCGTTTGTTTTGACACGTGATGCCATGTCAACCAAGCACGTCAGAACATTAGTGCTTTTTCTAATGGGACATAAATTAGCAAAACCCAGCATCTTAATTTTATACAAAATTAAATAGAGCTGATGGCAGGTAAAACAGCTCGTTAACCACAGGTGACAAGTAGCAAAAACAACATTGGCGCGAATATTTACCAGACTCCAATGAAAATATGGCAAATTAAGTTTACTCCCAACAAATACGTACAATCGCCTTAAAATGTCTGAGCCTAATAAAGCCCTGGGTGTCATTTTATAAAAACGGCAAACCTATTCACACCAAACGTCATTTCAATTTTAAAAAAGCATTAATTTGAGCTACACAGTTCGCTTGGGTGAGTATCCATGTTGTGATGCTAACATAGCACTTTTGATGTGACAGAAAATGAACTAAAATGCTGTCTATTACACCTGAACGTTTGGTAAGGTACATAGTAAATAACATTTCAGAAAACGCACCTAGTCGTGTTCTACCAGCATACTGTACTAACTAACAACGGTAGCGTTAGCTAGTTCCACTAGCACTGACTTATGTAATTTAACCTGGCTATAGTAACCAGAAGTTCTTTTTCACTCACCCGCCACAGGCTGTCCTCTTCTGGGACAGTTCCGCCATCGAGGAGGGGGTCCGGTGTGTGACATGTTCATGAGAGGTTCTGGTGCTGTTAGCGTTAATCACTGGCGTTCCCTTTCTCGGACCACACCACGGTGATCCCCGGTTATGGTTCACTCAGACACCGCGGACTCAGGGCCTTTTAGCTGTCACTGATCCAACAAGTTTAAGCCCAGTCAAACTTCTGACTGGCCGACAGGAAAGTAAACGAAACATAGGTTATTACTACTCACGGCAGATCAGCATCCCAAAAACAGTGTTATCTATAGAGTCTTAATTCCAGTAATCCCAATTGTTAGCAATTAGCTAAATAAACGTTACACAGTCACCAACTGAGTTACCTATGTTGTGCTAAACTAGCTAGCCTTCTTCTTCTTCTTCTGTCCTAGCTGTAGTTCAAACAACATCCTGCGTCACACTGCCGCCTGCGGGTATTTTAGTTTGTTAAATAAAGCCTAAACAAATGAAGGTCATACAACTACTAATAGCAGAATCTTGTATGCATTATAATTTAGGAGCTAATTCATTGTTATTAACCCTTCAAAGTCTTTTTACAAGAAACCCTGATGTATTTAATTCTTTTTGTGATCTGAACTGAGATTTCTTTTAACTACTGGGTCAAGTAGATTTTCCTTCTTTAACAAAATCCATGCATACTGCTTGATATTTATTCACTATCACAAGGTCGTTTTGGTGCACCATAAAATTTTAACAAATTTAAGATCATTTCAGTTGAAATTAATTTGTGATCATGTGTTATATTACAGCTATGAACATAGTGATGTTCTACAGCCATTCTTTCCCCGTTTTATGGAAAAGGAGATTGCACTATCTCAATAACAACTGCTAATGTGTAGTGCATGTCATCATAACTTTGTGTTAAAAAACTGCAACAACTGACACCTTTATAGTCTTAAGCAAGTTTGTTTTACAAGTGACATTATCAGTGACAACAAACAGGCAATAAAATAAAATCTTATTATAATACATACTGTAGCTAGTATTGTGCTTACAACAAAGTCCTCCCATTTACATTTGCATGGCATCATGGCACAAACTGGAGGGGATTATAATATTATATGATACAGAATATACATGCACATATTCGCTAGAGTATTTCAGCTAAGTGTCTGTGCTCAGTTGGTCCACATTACAGTGTAGATGTTATCAACGGTGAACACATTAAAACCCTTTTCAAATGCAAAACTGTTGATAGAGACATAAGGTAAACATATACATCAGGAGCGCTGAATAAAGCAACCACTACACAAACTGTTTTGCTATATTATGTTTGTATCAGTGCAAGCTAGACAGTATTGATTTAGACAAAATTCCACATTTTATCACCTGGGTCCTGATGTCTGATGTGAGATTACAATCATTCTTCTTTCATTTCACACTGGACATTGAAGCCTTCACAACGCTTAATCCACATCTTGTTTATTCAGCTCATCTGGGGCCTATTTCAAGAAGGCGGTTTAACAAACTCAGAGTTCAAACCTGAACTCTGAGTTGACTTACCCAGAGTTGGAAAACTCGGAGTTTTCGGTTTCAGAACAGCTGAAAAGAGTTGGTTTAATCAACTCTGAGTTGTTTGACTCAGAGTTAGGCGCGTGCCACGCGACTATAAAAAGCCCTGAACAATGGAGTGAAGAAATTACGAGTCACCATGGCAACAGGACCAAGCCAAAATAGGTCTGCGTTTTTCCCCGACAGAAATGGATGTGCTACTACAAGCATATAGTGACTACGAGCCCATATTTCGTAAAAAAAAAAAACAAAAAAAAAAACCAACACGGCTGCAGCAGCGAAAGAGAAAGAGTTAGCTTGGGGGAAAATAGCTGCCCGAGTCAATGCGTACGTTTACATTTTAATCATACAGTATTCGGTGTAAGTAATTACTAAATAATGTTAGTAATGTTATTATTTGTCACTTGTAAAGTAAGGAATGGTTCTTAATTCTTCAATAATTGAATGAGTAACTTCAGTAATTGCATAAAATACCGATTTTTGTACGAATTAAAAGTGCAGTTTTATGTCTACCCTTTCTTAAAATTCCTATTGTGGTTGATATGGGATTTGTAAAGTAATGATTAATAAATAATCCAATACGTTTTATGGAGAGTAATTATTACATTAATCAAAATACTTTTTTAAAATTGACCCAACACTGATGTAATAATATAAGAATTGAATTTTAATTTTCATGTAGGTGCAATCCTGCAGGCATAAAAAGAACGTGGCAGCAGCTAAAAATGAAATATAAAAACATAATTCAAACAGGTAAGGCTTGATCATATCATGGGTGTAGACTACCTGACTTTACAAACATTTGACATATTAAATAACTAAATAGCATGCAGAGTATAGCAGTGCAGCAGCATTTTCAACATGGGTGTAATGTTGTTTTCATACAATTAAATCATTTGACTACTACTCAGCCAACAGAAAGAAGGCAGAGGCCAGAAAAACTGGTGGAGGCCCTGCACCACCACCACTGACACATGCAGAGGAGATGGCCCTCAGCCTAAACACTGGAAAGCCAGTGGCTGAGGGAATTCCTGGAGGGAGTTCATCAGA